AATTACAATATATATTTTTGAAAGCATTCTTACTTTACAGCATTTTTTCACACCTGCCTACAACTTTTGCACAGTACTGTAGATACCATTCATACATACTGTATATACCCATTCCCTTGTTGTCTTTTGGAGCAAGCAACATTATGCAGTGCACAGACAAGAGTAAGAAATAGTAAGAAAAGATTTTAAAGGCACGAGGTAAGAACAAGAAAAAGGAAATCCAGCTAAAATTCATTTATGCCAAGACTGTTCTCTATACTTCTCTCCGTAATTTTCTACTTTGTAAACCATCCTTATTTCTACTATAGTTTTATAATCTTTTGTTCCTAACTTCTTCTCTCTTTCTGAGCATCTTGTTAACTCCGTTTAAGGCTGATTTTCTCAGTTTTCTCATTCTTCTCAACCCATTCATTCTTCTTTCATATATTTGTTTTACTTATTGACTGACTGATTTAGAAAATGTATATGGTTGCGCATATGAACTGTGTATGGGTACCAACAATCAGCAAGAACAACATAGTACAACCTCTATAAATCAATGCCCTTCCCCCCCAAAAAACCAAAAGAATTTTTTAAAAATCATAGTACAATAACCAGGGCAACATACAAGAAATTCAGCATAGAAACTACACATGATCATCTTCATTAATTCTCTCTATTTGACTAAACCACCTCAACATATTTCTTTTGCACTGGTCACTCACTTCTGTATTCAATCCACATTCTTTCAGCACCCACACATTTTTGATCTTATCTCTTCCTGCATTATACACACACTTCTTAACACCTCATTCCCACTGCATGCTACTTACTTTTGTTTTTTCTAACATACCTAATTCTCATTTCCATGTAACACAGTGTGCAGAAACTCACTCTTATATATTGCCATTTTCACTTCAGACAAGCATTTATTCCTCATGCCATACTGTTCATGATCTTTCTATTACCATGTGCATATCTTAATATTTATCCATCCATTTTCCATCTTTAGTAAATATTCCACCCAGGTACACAAATTGATCTACTTGCTCTACTTTTTCTATAAGCAAACCATTTCCATATTTTAACATTTCTCCAGTTACAACATCTACATCTGTAGTCTTACTATTAAAAAAAAAAAATTCTTATGTTATTTATTTCCTTATTTCCAGACTGGTTGTGGGTTTTCGGTGTGAGAGGCACTGTTTTATAGTGGTTCTCCTCCTTTCTCTATGGTTGGTTCCAGTTGGTATTGATGGGGCAGAGATCATGCCTGTAGCCCCTACATGAAATTACTGGATGAGGTCATCTGTTGGCTTGGGGTCTGTTGTCATCATTCTGCAAATGATACCCAATTATACAACTTAACCCCAGGCTGTCAAGGGGATGCTGTCAATGTTCTAGCACTGGGAATGTTCTGGGTGGGAAGGAACAGACCCAGACTCAGTGCTGACAAGACCAAGTAGCTGACACCATTTACTCCATCTCCTAGATCTGGAGACTTTTTGTCTTGGATAGAGCGACACTTCCCCTTTCGAGACTGGTGAGCAATTTGGGGGTTGTCCTGGACTCGCAACTCTTGCTTGAGGAGCAGGTGCCCACTGTAGCCATAAAGGCCTTTGTACAGATTTATCTGATGCAACAACTGCACCCATTCTAGATCAGAAGGGCCTCCAGAGAGTCATTTGTGCCCCAGTCACCTCACAAGTGGACTATTGCAATGCACTTCACATGGGGCTGCTCCTGAAGACTACTTGGAAACTATAGCTGGTCCAGAATACAGTGGTGCAGGATGTGAAGGGTATCACAGTATGCTCATGTGTCACTGCTGCTCAGTGAGCTGCACTGGTTGCCAGTTTGCTTCCAGGTATAATTCAAGGTGCTAGTTATCACTTATAGAGCCCTTTATAGCATAGGGCTGGCTATTTAAGGGATCCCCTATCTCTGATAGTTTTTGCCCATCCAGTGAAATTGGACAAAATGGAGTGCTCCAGGTTCCTTCAATCAAGCAGTGTCATGTATTGGGATCTAGGAAGCATGCTGCAACAGAGATCCATATGGCTGCCAACCTGATGGCATTCGGAAAGTCTTTGAAGACCTGGCTATTTTCCCAAACCTGAGAATAAAGTAGGTGTAAAGCCCCTGTTTTTATTATATTGTATGTTTTCCAGACATTCATGGCATTCTTTTGCTCACTTTTAAAGGGTTTTACCCTCCTGATTTTATTGTAAGCCACCCATAGTCATTTGGAGTCAGGAAGCCTCTAAATATAAACAAACAAACAAACAAAGTCATTCCATAAGTTTTTTGGACATCATAGCATTCATTTCAACATTATTTTCAACATATCTCTGCCATTCTCATAC